AGAAGCCAGGAGAGAGACAAGGAAAATCTCTCCTCTACAGATTTCAGGAAGAGCACAGCCCTGCCAACATCTTCATTTCGGATTTCTGGCCTCCAGACAGTGAGAGAATAAATTTCTGCTGTCTTAAGTCACCTAGTTTGCGGTAATTTGTTACAGCTAATACACTCCTAAAAAGAACATTATATAGCAGTTCAATAAGCAAATTCCATATATATTTATCAATACAGTAAATCTCAAAAACATAATGCTACATAAAGAGACAATGAAAGAAATGAGATTGAGTTATTTGTAGTGAGGTGGATGGACCTAGAGTCTGTCATACAGAGTGAAGTAAGTCAGAAAGAGAAAAACAAATACCGTATGCTAACACATATATATGGAATCTTAAAAAAAAAGTGGTTCTGAAGAACCTAGGAGCAGGACAGGAATAAAGACACAGACGTAGAGAATGGACTTGAGGACACAGTGGGGGGAAGGGTAAGCTGGGACAAAGTGAGTGGCATGGACTTATATATACTACCATATGTAAAATAGATAGCAGCCGCATAGTACAGGGAGATCAGCTCCGTGCTTTGTGACCATCTAGAGGGGTGGAATAGGGAGGGTGGGAGGGAGACACAAGAGGGAGGAGGTATGGGGATATAAGTATATGTATAGCTGATTCACTTTGTTATACAGCAGAAACTAACACAACAATGTAAAGCAATTATACTCCAATGAAGATGTAAAAAAAAAAAAGAGAGAGACAATGGTTTTTTGATGCTAAGTTAATACTAAAATCCCCAAATAATACATATTTTTTAATTAAGTAATTAATTTATTTAATTTATTTTTGGCTGTATTGTGTCTTTGTTGCTGCGTGCCAGCTTTCTCTAGTTGCGGCGAGCAGGGGCTGCTCTTCATTGTGGTGCACGGGCTTCTCATTGCGGTGGCTTCTCTTGTTGCAGAGCACGGGCTCTAGGCGCACGGGCTTCAGTAGTTGTGGCACGCAGGCTCGGTAGTTGTGGCTCACAAGCTCAGCAGTTGTGGCTCACGGACTCTAGAGCACAGGCTCAGTAGTTGTAGCGCACGGGCTTAGGTGCTCCACAGCATGTGGGATCTTCCCAGACCAGGGCTCGAACCCGTGTCCCCTGCATTGGCAGGCAGATTCTTAACCACTGCGCCACCAGGGAAGCCCAGGACAAAATGTTAATATCTGTTTTTAAAATAAATCTGCATCATGTGACTATAGGTGGCTACTACATTATATCCTGTACTTTCCAGAATGTTCTAAATGCTCATAACTAGAAATGACTAAATTTTAAGGAAAGAGAAATTAAGAGCTAGTCATTTGATCAAAGAAAAATTTGATGGTATTTTTCATAGTTTTGTTTCCATAAACTACATTATAGAACTATTATAAGAGAAGTCAGAACAATCCAGTAGCAATAGCAATAAACTTTATGTCCCACTGCACATTACTTGTTGAGAACCTACTCCTTGGGCTGATTTCTTACCTGGGCTGTCCTATGAGGATGTGAGACCACAGAAAATAAGCAGCCTTGAATCCGAATCTTTTTACTTACCTTCGATTGCTATCCACTTTCCAAAAGGAATGTTTACAGCTAAGACAGCCACTCTCTGAACTGATCCTGAAAGGCCTTTCTCCCACAGAAAGGGGTGCTGGCTGGGGAGGCCTGGATGTGCCACACATGAAGGCTGGACTCCTGCCAGATACTTCACGGGGCACAGCAGCCAAGCCCAGCCAGTGTGTCCCGGGCCAAGGCCACAGTGAGCAGGGCAGACAGTCTCTCTGTGGGCAAGAGCCTTGGGAAACATACCCTTGACACTCTACTGATTGTACTATACATAAACCTTCTGTATATATATTTCAAGATTTGGGCTCTTTTCCCTCCCAAATGACACATTTGTTAAAACACAATTTTCAGAAAAGAAGTAAAACTATGACTCCTATACAGTTACCAAAATGAATTCACATTAAGGATTGAATTTTACTCATATGATAGGAGGAAATAAGGCAGATGTTACCACTGGTCCTAAGGAAAAAAGAAAAGGGCACTAATTTATATGGAGTAGAGGGATGTTGAGATGAATTGTAAATGGAGACAAAACCAATTTTTCCACAGTAGGGGAGGAAGCCAATTAACTCTCCACCAGACAGGACAGAATTTACAAACCTATCAGTTACCCCCAACTTTCACAGAGCTGCAAAACAGCTCAAATACAATGAATAGGGCTAGAATCAGACAGCCCGGAAGGGTGGGCTATAGTCGATGGGTACTTTTCCACTGAAACACAGAGTTTCTTCTATGACATTATAAGGTCACGGTGAGGGATAAGGTTTCCTCCTGTAAGGGGATGGGACTGTGGGTCTGACATGTATGGTGGGGTCTTCATAAAATGTACCAAGAAGCGCTTTTCTGTATCATGTCAGGTGGACTTGGCAACACACTCCAGCCACCCTGAGATCCGATCTGTGGTTTCCACCAGTAACGCCTCCAGAAGTCAGGGTTCTCTTTATGACACGAGGGATGGCCAGGACATGCTCCAGCAGGGCAGACCCTGATGGGCACATTCTTTGTCAATGCCACCCAGGATGCAGCACTAAAGTACATGATTCCCCCATAACACCCATGCAAGATCCCACATAACTGTGAATGACTGTGAGACCCGTCCCCTACAGACTGACTTTTCTGGCCCCTTGACAAAGATTCTCTCCTTGACCGAACTCCTGTCAGGATCCTCTGAACTCTCTTCTCAACTAGGCCCTGGCTTTTGGGCTTTGTCCAGTTCTAGTAAGAATCCTGCTAAGTGGGTTTAGCAGAATCCCCCAGCCTTCTATCTGATTCGCTCCCTCATCCTCCATCATCCCCCAGGTGATGTCCGATCACCCTGGCTTGTCTTCTGCAAGAATCCTGTTAAGTCAGCTTAGGTGGAATCCCTTTATTTCCATCCACTGAGCCCCTACTCTGCCCCTTGGCTAGAAACTCCCACTTTTCCTTATATTCAGAGTTGAGCCCAATGTCTCTCTCCTACTGCAAGATCCCCCTGGAGTGGTCCCTAACCCCTATCACGATGGTCCTGAATAAGGTCTGCCTTACCGTTTTTTAACAAGTGTCACGAATGAATAATATTTTCTTTGACACCCTCCAGTCCTCCTTCACACAGCAAATGCCTCCACAAAATTGTCAGTCAAAACCCATGGGGATCACTGGTGCATGTTTGACCTGCAAATTCCAAGGGGCTGCTGTGCCCTCCCCCCTTTCCTAAAATGTATCATTACTCCAAACAAATTTGTGCTTCTTGACTTCTTTTTCTGAACCAGTTATAAGATCTGCCTGGTTCCCTCTTTAATGAATAAAATAGAATCTTTAACACACGCTCGTTTTTCTATCTGTATTAGTCATGATTTTGCCTTTTGCTGAAAATTATCTTTTAACTGTGTAATTGAACATTCCCCTTTTCCCACTGGAGGGCAGAAGGCGAGAAATGGGTGGTCAAGTATGGTTGAGCTAGTGTGGTTTCCTGCTTTCATACCCCCCAGGATTTAAATAACTCAGAAGTCATACTTCCCAAAGCAATGAAGATCTCCAAAAGAAATAGGGAAGCAGATTTTGGTAAGTGAAGGGGATTGGTGTTGATAGGAATGCAACAAGCAAAGACGTCTAGGAATAAAATGCTGGCAGCCTCAGAGATTTAGAAACGGAAACACCTGAAAGGGCGTCGAAAACAACTACAGAACCTCTAAGATGGCTGCAGGGGAAGGCTGCGGGTTTCCTTTACTGGGTAAACACTGTAACTTGCCTGGCAGTTGATCCTCCATCTTGCAGCAGGGAAGGCAGGGCCCTCCTTATCCTTAGATGGTTCTGTGAACATCAACTCCTCCAATTATTTTTATTTTTCAGTAATCATGGTTGTGTTTTCCAAAGGGTACACAGTCTTGACAGCATTAATTAGAAAACTAGATGGGATGAAGCTAGACTGGCCTGTGAACTGCCAATCATGCGGCTGCCTCTGGCCTTTTCTTGGACTGTTGTGAGGCCTAGATGGCATTCCCCCAGATACCCACAGGGCTCACTTCTGACCACCTTACTTTAAATGGGCTTTGAAAACAACAGGTGGCATTTCCATCAGCAAGTAGCCCTAAATCGCAGTGCCCAGCGTCAGCAAGGCCTGGGAGAGGCCACCGCTTCACCTCCTGACCCACATGGACGAGTGGGAACGGTTCAATTTCCCCTGGCAACACGCACCCAGCATCCAGGACGCTACACGCCTAGACCAGACCCTCCTCTCTCTCTCTTTTTTTTTTTTTTTTTTTTTTTGGGGGTACGCGGGCCTCTCACTGTTGCAGCCTCTCCCGTTGCGGAGCACAGGCTCCGGACGCGCAGGCTCAGCGGCCATAGCTCACGGGCACAGGCACAGCTGCTCCGCGATATGTGGGATCTTCCCGGATCGGGGCACGAACCCGTGTCCCCTGCATTGGCAGGCGGACTCTCAACCACTGCTCCACCAGGGAAGCCCAAGACCCTCCTCTCTTAACACCCATCCTTAATAAAGGCTGCAAAATGTGGAGAATGAGCTGGACGCAGATACGCTCATTTTTCCCCCATACTTTTTATATCAGTAGTAAGAACTGTACGACCAAAATGTTCAACTGTAGGAAAACGGTTACAAAGAGTATTTAATGGCACGGAGGAAAGGATCAAGACATAGTGTTAAATGGAAAAAAAGGAATACAAGTTTATAAACAGTATGATTTCAACTGTCTATTCAAAATGTATGGCTAAACAATACAGGAAAATATGCCAAAGTAGGAGGGCGGGGTTGCTTTTCTGCAGTGACAGTGTACTGCTTTGATAACAGCAGGTGTTGAAAATGGACTTTAATAGGTTCATTACCTGTGCACATGGCAAAGACCTCCTTTGCCTCAAGCAAACGCATGCGCAAGTTAGAGCAGAGCGGACCTGCAGCGCGTTCCTGGGCTAGCGAAGCGCACGTACCTCGTCCAACTGCCTGAAGGACGCTGTCCTTACGCGCGGAGGACGCCGGACCGGAGCGGGCAACGCCACAGCCCCGCGGGACACGGGGGAGACGGTCAGGGGCAAGCCGAGGGGGAGGCGCCTCCTTCGGGCACGGAAGTGGACGCGGTGACGGAGGGCGGTGGGATCCCGGTGGACCAGTGGCTGTCCTGGATTCCCGACCTCCGGGGAAGGCTGGAGCCGGAGGGAGGGGCAGGGAGGGGAGGTCGGGAGGAAGAGGGAAGGAGGGGAGGAGGGAGAGGGAGGGGGGAGGAGAGGGGGAGGGAGACGGTGGGGGGAGGGAGACCGGCAGGAGGAAGACAGGCCGCCTATGAAATTTACATGTGCGCCTGGCTCCTAAGACCTGTGACTTCTTTACTGTAAATCAAAATTAGGCTATTTTAAACAGTAGATGACTACATATTCATACTTGACCTCCCTCCCGCCGCCGCCACTCCATATTTTGTCTGGTCTCCTAACACTGTGATAACCAATTCAATTGGCTACAGAGGAGGGTTAAGAAAGAAAACCGGAAGAAATGTTGATTAGGAAAATAAGTGACAGAGGGAAAAGTAGCAGCAGCTTCTCGACGCCACAAGAATTTCACCAAAAATCTCATGACCCGTGAGACAGAGCGTTACTAGTTAAGACGCTTCCAGTTGGAAAAGGTGTGAATTCTGATTGAGGGTGACTTTTTCTTAAGGGATCTTTTCTGCAGAGGGATGGCAAATCAGTAATATAAAAAGCCTCGAGGGGTAAGGTTTGTGAGACTTAATCTGATTGTTAAACGGCAATTTTCAGAAAAAGGTAAAATCATGATGCTCACACAGATATAAAAATGACCTGTGTTGAAAACTTTACAGTACTCATTAATTAATAAGAAAACCAGGCAGATGTTAAAACTAGTTCAAAAGAAAGTTTTTAAAAAGTGCACACATATGGAATAAAGGAATGGTGAAAGGAAAATGCAGACAGAGGCAAACTGGCTTTTTTTCCCACAGGATGGGGAAGGAGGTCAATTTGCTTGTCTATCATCTACCTACAACTTACAGAATTGTAAAACAGCTACCAGACATTGGAAGACAAGAATCAGATAGCCTGGAGGGTGACCTCTAGGCAAGCATAGGTTTCCATCGAAACACAAAATTGTTTCTATTAGACTGTTTCTAAGCATCTTCCAGCATCTTGGAAGTACCAGTTACATGGAAAGACTAGATGTGACTGATTACACATCATTTTTCTCTATTTGCTAAATTTAGCTCTCCAAGCATCATTCCTGACATTAATTAACACTTATTAACATGAGGGATTTCATATTCGAAACTCTATGCCTTGCCAAAATTTGCCAACTCAGCGTTAAACTTATGCACGTACTTAAAAGTAATTTTTTAAAAAGTTGCCTCCAAATCAGTCTCAATTGGCAAAGTTGTGCAGTGGATTCCAATATTACGAGACAGCGCTATATTATAAAGTACACCTCTGCTACAACGTTCAAAAACAATTTATATCTACTGTTTTCCCACCTATATTCCTAAAACTATCTCCCAGACCCCTCTCACAGTCTCCTCTTTGTCTTAACATGCACCTTACCCCTGAACCTGGCTGGAATCTCCGTTGTCCTGCCTCTTCCTCCCTGTGGTCTCCCCACTTTGGGGAGAGGGCCGCCCTCTCTCTTTCCATTTATGCAAATCCTCTCCAGCTTTCAGAATGTTTCATGAAGCTTGCTTAAGTGCTACAGCTCTTGATTTTCCTTAATCTGCACTCCTAAAAAAAAAAATGATTCCTTTGGCGTTTTGTACTACAAACTGGGTCACTGGATCATGTAACATCTTCTAGTTGATGAAAACCTTGCTTTCACAAGTGTAGTAACCTGAGATTTCTCAAGGCAGGCTGTGAGTGTTCTCCGTTCAAAACACCAGAGTGCAAGGAGAGGATGCCTCCTATGTCCATCTCCTTGCATTAAACCAAAGACGTGTCCCTTCTCCTTAGACTCGTTTTCCTTAACTATGAAATGAGGGATTAGACTAGATTTGGTTCTCAAACTTTAGCACGCATCAGAATCCCCTGGAGGGTTTATTAAACCACAGAGTGCTGGGCCGTAAACAGAGCCTCTGATTCAGGAGGTTCGGGGGAACCTCAGGAATTTGTGGGTCCAACAAGATTCTGGGTGATGATGCTGGTGTCCCTGGTCCAAGGACCATACTTTGAGAGTCACAGTGACTAGCAAACCCACTTGGCTGACCATCAAAACCATCTAGGGAACTTGTAAAGTTAAGATGTCCTGGGCTCAGACCTACTGAACCAGAATCTTACAGGGTGGCACTGGGGAAACCGTATTTCAAAAAGACTCCCCCAAAAAACTCCCCAGGGGCTTCCCTGGTGGCACAATGGTTGAGAGTCCACCTGCCGATGCAGGGGACACGGGTTCGTGCCCCGGTCCGGGAAGATCCTACATGCCGCGGAGCGGCTGGGCCCGTGAGCCATGGCCGCTGAGCCTGTGCGTCCGTAGCCTGTGCTCTGCAACGGGAGAGGCCACAGCAGTGAGAGGCCCGCGGGCCGCAAAAAAAAAAAAAAAAAAAACTCCCCAGATGACTCTAATGATGGACCAACTTTAGGACCCAATTGAGCTAGATAATCTGTATAGGCCACGTCAGTGTCAACATTCCATGATTTTATGTTATAGGTTCAGCAAGGAAAGCCTGCCTGGAGGAAGGCAGGTGCAACTCTCAGGATAAAATAAATCTTATAGGTCCATCAAACTAGAAGCATACAAGAAAAGGGAATCCTGGGAAACATAGATCAGCTTAGCCCAGTGGGCACATCGACAAACGATCGCACCATGGCTGGGTACACTTCCAGTCCTCCCCAAGGCAAAGGTGTTATCCTGCTAGAGATACACTGGTTTACCATTAAACGGAACCTTTCACGTGCCAGTTTGAAACATCTGCAACTGAATTACTTCACTGCCTTGGGATTTCTCCAAAATAATGTGTAGGTAATTTTTAAATATCTGAATAAGTCAAAGAAGTCACCAAAGTGTTATCACCCAGAACCAACGGAGGGTGGGTCCTAAACATAAATTCTTGCTTCTATCTTAAAACGTACAAACTGCTTGCAACACCCCAAATGGCATTTTTTTCACCTTCACCAGTTTTAGTTCCAAACTCCTCTGGAAAATTCATCACAAGTTAATATTTAACTCTAAAAATAATTTTTTTTAAAGCTCTATTCTTATAGAAACTCTTAGCATAAGTGAACACTGGGATTTCACAGAGTTCCTTAATAAAGAGCTGTGACTCAGCAGTCACAGCTGGTTATCCCTCCAAAGTTATTTTATTTATTATTATGAAATAAGGAACTAAATTCCAGGAACTGAGTGAACCCAAGCTGAATTAACAAACCGGGCAAAGTTAAACAAGACCGCAGACTCTGCTAAAGCCCCGTGATGAACACTGACCTTGAAGGCAAGGTCAGGAAAAGTATTCCATGGAGCTGCTCCTCTAAAGAAATTTTGGAACAAAATCAGAATTGCTGGTGTGTTTGAGAACATCTCCCAGGAATACCTGGGGGAGAGTGTATTGCAGTTCCTCTGTTCCCATTTCTGGGACGGTGTTGCTGACTCAGCCCCACCCCTTGAATGTAGCTGCAGGTAGCCAGCTGGGAAAGCACTGAGTCCTGGGTGCAGGGCAGGCATTGCTACAGAAGGCAGGTCAGAAGGCTGGGTAGAAAAGAAAGCTGGTTTCTAGATGATTCTTGAGCCATTAAGCCATTAAGCCATCTTGTCACCCCCAGACAGAAAGCCTAAATTAGCTTTTTTTTCACTTTTTACTATGAAACTGTACAAATAGGCAGAAAAGTAGAAAGAAAAGCTCAGTAAAGTCCCACATTCCCCTGATTTAGATATAATTATTGTGACTATTTTTGCAGTTTACTTCATTTCTTTTTTTTTTTTTTTGGCTGAAATATATAGGTTATAGACAACATGACATTTCGCCTCTGGGAGGTCACACCTTCCTACAGTCTCCTCCCACATTGTACAGGGTTGGTCCAGTAGAATACAGAAGTAGTGATGGCCTGTCTCGTCTGGAATTAAGTTACAAAAGACATGTGGCTGCATCTTGCCTTCTCTCTCTCCCTCTCCCTCTCATCACTTGCTCTGGGGGAAGTCAGCTGCCATGTCGCTAGTAGCCCCATGGAGAGGCCCATGTGGCAAAGAAAGCCTCATGGACACAGATCCTCATGCCCCAATCAAGTGTCAGATGACTGCAAATCCCACCACATCGAGATGGGAGCCTCCTGAGAGACCCTGCGTCAGAACCACCGGCTAAGCCAGTCCCAGACTCCTGAGGCTCAGAAACTGTGCAAGATAATAATTTCTATTGCTTTAAGCTGCTAAATTTGGGGCTAAATTGGTAGTACAGATAGAACACATTTGGATACATTTGCAGGCGGGGTACTGTGACAGAAACCCAAAATGTGGGAGTGGCTTTGGCACCAGGCGGTGGGCTTTGTTGAGAGCATTGGTAAATGCCTGGAGCACCTTGAAGAAGCTGTGAATAAAAGAGTCCAGGTCGTTACAGATTCAGGTCAGAGCTTGCAGGAAAGTGAAGGAAATGCTGTCAGAAACTGGAGGAAGGGATCCTGGTGATGCTGTTGCCCGCAGTCATGTGGACAGAGGAAAATGCACCCAATGAACTCGTGAGCTAGTCAAGGAGATTTGGAGCCAAAGCGTTTTCAGTGCTGCCTGCTTTCTGCTAGTTGCTTATAGTAAGATGCCAGAGGAGAGAGAGAAATGAACGGAAGGGTCATTAAGCAGAAAGGAGCTGGGACTGGAAGGTTTTCAGCCGGGCCAGATGACAAGTTATGCTAGAATCAAGGAATGGCTTCCAAGCAAAAGTCCAAATTCAGGGCCCTGCCAGAAAACCTGTGGTCCAGAGATAGACCCTAGGCTGTGCCTGTAAATAATTTTTAAAAGATTTCAGAAAGATATAAAGCCATACCCCATAGTACTTTTGTCAGACAAAAGGCCCTCTAAGGAGAGTAAAGGTGTGCCTCACTGCTGTGGCCTGAATGCTTGTGAGATTAAAGGTGTACCTCACATGTGA